ACAAGCCTCTTGTATTTGATTTTTCTGTTCCATTCTTTAGATTTTGGAAATTTTTTACTATTATATAATTTAAAAATTATGCATTCCTTTGGTTTGTATCTCTGCTCCTTCATCTATTCCAATAACTCTTAAATCTGGTCTTTTCATGTTATCCCATAATTCTTCGATGTTCTGTTCATGGTTTCTTACCATCTTCTCTTCATGGGCAACTCTACTTTTAAGATTATATATTTTTTCTTCATTGTCTGAGGTTCTGTCTTCCAAGTGATCTACTCTGTTGGTGATGCTTTTTATTGAATTTATAATTTGGTACTGATTCCTTCATTTTAAGGATTTCTGCTTATTTTTTTTTCATGATCTCTAACTCTTTATTGAAGTAGTCTTTCACTTCCTGTATGTTCTTTGATTTCACTCCTCATACTGCCCTTTATTTCACATATCAGTTTAACTATATGCAATCTGAACTCCTTCTTGGACATTTTTTTTTTTTACTGTGTTATCAGTGGCTTCTGTTGTTGAAACATCTTGTTTTGTTTGGGGCTCTTTATTTCCTTTTTTTTTTCATGTTGTTAGTGTGTTTTCCCATCTAGAAGTATAGATCTAAGGCAGCATAAAATCTACCCTGTAGACTTATAGTGTCTAGGTGTGTGAAGGTTTCCAGAACCTCACCTTTAGTGGTGAGACCAATATCAATATTACTCAGCATATAATATGTAGCCTTAAACCTAATAGCTCCCACTAAGACAACTACTGCTTTCTCGCATTAAACCAAAATGATGAATTTAATAACTATCTATAGTGTAAATAGAAATTTTGTTAAAATGGTTTACAATTTCAAAGGGTGTATTTGAGAACAGAGTAGTGTAGTGTGTAATATTTGTGAGGGAGTTAGAGAGAAGCTAGAAGTAAAAATTCACAGGAAGTGTGGAAGAGGAGCTGGCAGAGATTGGCTGTTGATTGGAGAGAAGTTGGAAAGAAAATTGCATAAAAAGCATCCTTTTCCAAATATGGTAGAGAGATTAGTGAATCAAAAAATAAAATAAATCTTGCTAGAAAGTCGAACTGTCTCTGTCAGTGTTCAACAGTTTCTCAGCTCTGACTCTGATGTCTCTCGGGATCTCCAAACCCAGATCAGCCCTTGCAAACCTAGTCTCTAGCCTACAAACCTGGATTTCAAATACCTCAGGCTCTGCCATTTGTAGTCCCAAGGTCTCAATGCTGCTCCTACTTGCAGAGAGACCACCAGGAATACACTCATGCAAACGAGCAACAGCAAGAGATGCAGCAGCAATACCCAGGCCACTAGCACTCTCAGCAGGAAGACCCCAGGGTCCTCCAAACCCACAGGTACCCCAACACTGGACCTGCAGGTCCTGATTGGAGTCCCCAGACAGAGGGTCTTGTGGTGGTAAACCTGCTGGCACCCAGGTCCCAGGCCCTGGCTGGTATCCCAAAATGGGTGCAGCCACATGCAACCAAACCTGGAATCTCCCCTGCAGCAGTCCTCTAGGCCGTGGTAGCAGCAGTAGTGGCGGCTGCATTGGCAGTTACAACTGCAGCTGTGGGAGCAGCGTCACCAGGTGATCTCCAGGGGTCAGCAGCAATGTGGGCTTCAGTTGCATCCACAGTTTCTTCTGTGGCAGCAGCACCCAGAAAGAAAACCTCCAGGTGATCTCAGTCTAGCAGTAGAGAAATCAGAGGCAGCAGCAATAGCGGTAGTGGTGCAGGTGGCGGTTGAGTAACAGGAGACTTCCGGTTCAGCGGCAGTGACCATGGAGGTAGCATCAGAATCGAGTCAGGGGTAACCAGGTAGTGCCCAGAAAAGAGACCTCTGGACACAGCAGTGGCTTCTGCAGCAGCCCAGAAAGAAAACCTCCAGAGGACCTCAGGCTGGCAGCAGTAGAGTCAGAGGCAGCAGCAATTGACATATGGGTTTTTATTCTGCCATAAAGAAGAATGAAATTGTGGCATTTGCTGGTAAATGGATGGAAATGGAAAATATCATGTTAAGTGAAATAAGACATATTCAGAAAGCTAAGGGTCCAATGTTTTCTCTTGTGTGTGGAAGCTTGAGCAAAATAAGAGGGAAACAGGCAGAGGGAGCCCATGAAAATAAAAAGGGTAGGATAGGTAGGGGGCAGATGGGAAGGAAGGAGGAAGAGGGAAAGAGGGGACTGCAAAGTACACCCTGCCAAATCCTGCTGTGCACATATAGGAATATACCACCGTGACTTTCACTATTGTGTGTATCTATAAAGCAGGAATTAAAACAATAGGCAAATAGAAGGAAGACCAGTAGAGGAGAGGAATGGGACAGGGGGAGGGAGGAGGGAAAGGAAAGGAGAAGTACTGGGAATTGAAATGGAGCACATTAATTCCATGCATGTATGGTTGTGTCAAAATGAATTGAAATATTATGTATGTGATAATACAGTAATAAAAATATGTATAAAAGAAAAAGCATTCTGGGCTGGAGTTGTTGCTCAGTGGTAGAGCGCTCGCTTCACAATGCGAGGCCCTGGTTCGATCCCCAGCACCACATTAAAAAATAAATAAACAAAAAAAGGAATTGTGTACAACTAAGAAATAATTTTTTTAAAAAGCATTCTTTGTGTAAAGAACATGAAAACAGTTTCTTATCAGATAAATCTCTGTGAAACAGCCTCTTACCAGAGAAATTTCTTGCAAATGTCTTCTTTTAGGCATAGTTTATCTTTTCCTTCTCTAGACATTATCTTTCACAGAGCAGGAATTTTAATTTTAATGGGGTGTATTGTATCAATCTCTTTCTCATTGATCATACCTTTGATATAGTATCAAAAAAGTCATAGCCAAATCCAATGTCATCTAGATTTTCTCCTTCTATCTTGTACAATTTTTCTAGTTTTATGTTTTACATTTAGATCTATGATCCATTTTAAATTAATGTTTGTGAAGAGCATAGATTCATTATTTTATGTGGGTATGTCCAGTGTTCTAACAGCATTTGTGGAAAAGGCTATCTTTTATCTATTGTGTTGCTGTCAATTTTTGGTCAAAGCTCAGTTGAATACATAGTTATTGCTTGGTCTGTAGGGATTTGATACTAGTATCTTCCCAGAGAGCTACATCTGTGGATAGTCAAAATCTTTTAATTAAAATTCCCTGGTATACAGCCTAAGCTCTCATATACTTTACATCATCTCTTGATTATGTTTAGTGCCTGACAAAATGTAAGTGCTATGTAATTGAAACTGGAGTTTGAAATGAAACCAGATTCTCCACTCTGATAGTCTGTAGGTCTGCATAAGTTACATGCCTCTGCAGCTGAGAGAGCCCATTTTAGTATTGCAACTAATCACAGCAGGGAAATGCCTGTCTGGTCAGCTCCATGGGTCAGAGCTGGCAGAACCTGACTCTTCTTCAGTATTACTGAGCAGTGTGTTGTAGCTCTCAATGGCAGACCTCAGCAACTGGCTGCCATTTTTTTTCCAGGTTCTTATTCACAGATTTGAAGACAAATCCACAGACAACAGAAGGCAAGAGTGAAGGTGTAGTATTTATATAACTGAAAAGAAAAGAAGCAGAACTCTCAGGGGCTGAGAGGGGAACCTGAGAGTAGGTTTCCACTTAAGTGTACTAGTCTAGGGACTTAAATAGCTACTGGATGAGGCATTCATCAATATCTGTGTTAATCAGGCTTGGAAAGATACTAAAGGTGTTGGTCAGTATCTATGCTGATCATGTCTCGAAAAAGTGCCAATACTATTGGTCAACACCTATGCTAAACAAGTATTGGAACAGTGCCAAGGCTCATGGTTTGGTCTGTGACATTCTGATTAGTTAGGCCTTGAGTCTGTAGTCTTCACTCAGGTCGGCTCTACCTCCTTTTTCCTGCCACCCGGGACAAAGAAGTTGGCTGTAATGTTTGGAATGTTTTCTATAGGTTAGTTTTGTGAAATAGCCTCTTCATTTAAAGTCTCTCTCTCTCTCTCTCTCCCTTTTTTTTTTGTGTGTGTGGGGGAGTGCATTTTCTTAACTGTCTGCCTGTTTTACTATCTATCCTATCTTATTCATAAATACTTTTGTACTGTATTGATTTGGACATAAGCACAAAAATATACGTTTAATACAGATGTAATTTTTTCCTATTGTATTTTCTATCCGTGGTTGCTTGAATTCACAGATATAGAGGGCCAACTTTACTTATGTAGATCTGTGTCTGTGTTCTCAACTCTGTTTCATTGATATATTTGGACATGACTTTTGGTGAAACCCTGTTCAACCTGATAAAATAATGGTATTGTGTCCAACTACAACTAAAAAAAATATTTAAAAAAAATAAAAAATAGTCTGGCTGTGTGTCAAATCAGCTTATAATAATATTGAGGTTCCACTGTGAATGTAGGTCAATCTTTTTTTTTTAATTTTTTACACCTTTATTTTATTTATTTATTTTTATGTAGTGCTGAGGATCAATCTCAGCACCTTGCACATGCTAGGCAAGTGCTCTACCACTGAACTATAATCCCAGCCCAGATCAATCTTTCTTTCTTTGTCTTTTTTGTGCTGGGAATAGAACACCTAGGGGCACTTTACCACGAGCTACATCCCCAATTCTTTAAAATTTTGTTTTTCTTTGCTTTGAAACAGGATCTTGCTAAGTTGAAGAGGTTGGCCTTGACTTCATGATCCTCCAGCCTCCCAATCCCACCCTAAGGATTATAGGCTTGTGTCACTATGTCTGATTTAGATCAGTTCTTTCACATTAGAGGCTGCCTTTCCCCCCACATCTCAGCTTTTTCTTTTACCTTCTCTATTTTTATTTTCTTTCTTCCTTCCTCTCTCTCCCTCCTTTGCTTTTTTTTTTTTTCTTCAATGGATTTGACATTTTGTTTCAGTTCAACTCATCCTTCTCTGTCTTTAGAGTATCAGAAGACCAAAGTTTGACCCAATTTTATGGAAAGATATTTGTGATTCTTCATTGCTTTCTCTCATGATATTCCTTTCCTCATGTACAGGGTATCCACTACTCACACCCAATCTGATCTCCCAGTGGGAACAAGAGGACGAACTGCAGATAGTGAAGACAGAACTTATCCAGGGTACCTGTACGGAGCAGCACCAGGAAGGCAAGAATCCCTGGGAGAAACTGGCCTTGGAGGAGACAAAAATAAAATAGAAATAAAGCAAAAGTTTGTTTTGTCTGAGGAAGCTCATTATCCACAGATGTCTCAGAGGACTATTTTGACTGTTTATCTGTCCTCTTGTACTTTCCTTGATCTTGGCAAAGATCTCCATATTTGCTTTTTTAAAGTTTGTTTTTGGTATGTGTATTTTATCCTTTCTGTTTTCCTCTCATAATAATTTTTTTAAAATTATTAATGAAAAATTTTAATATATTTTCTATACTAATATGAAATATCAAGTTAACAGAAAAATTTTAACATAACCTTTCTTTTTTAAAAAAATTATTTATGTATTTGTTCTAATTTGTTATACATGATAGCAGAATACATTTTGATTCATATGGAGCACAATTTTTCATGTCTCTGGTCTCAATAATTTCTACTGGTCATGTTACCATCACTTTCATTCTTCATAGAACTATTTTTTATTTTTCAGCACTGGGGAACCCAGGAGTGCTTTACCACTGAGCTATATCCCATACCCTTTTTACTTTTGAGACTGGGTCTAAATTGTTGAGGCTGTCCTTGAACTTGTGAACCTCCTACCTCAGCCACCCAAGTAGCTGGGATTACAAGCATGTGTTACCATACTATGGTAATGTTACCATACTATGGTCTCATGGAAATATTTTTTAGTGAACTGTTTTACTTTTTCCCTTGTGCCTATTAATAATGAAGTCCTGAAACAGCTGCACTGCTCAAAGTCCTTTGCTCATAGGTAACTTTATTTATTTATTTTTTTTCGTTTCAGGTTTTGAGTCTCTACTTAATACTAAGGAATTAGTTGCTCTTCAAGATAACAATGGAGAAAAAATATCCAATGAACAGAAAATAGTGAGATTCAAAAGAAGTGGTTCCTGCTCCTCTGTTTTACATGAAAACCAGGATACCCATCGTTTGGATGATTGGAACAAAAGCCATGAGAAAGGTTTAAGGTGAGTGCCCTTCATATAAGAGAAGGTAGTGCATCAGGAAACAGTTTTGAGATTTAAGAAACTTATTTTGGGGCTGGGGTTGTGGCTCAGTGGCAGGCAGAGTGCTTGCCTCCCACATGTGAGGACTGGGTTCGATCCTCCGCATCACATAAAAATGAATAAACGAAATAAAGATATTGCATCCATCTATAACTAAAAAATATTTTTTTTAAAAGAAACATTTTCAACATAAACCTAGGTCAAAAATTTTGCTTTCATAAGAATGAAATCATGGTATTTGCCAGTAAATGGATGAAGCTGGTGCAAAGAACCAAAGACCAAGTGTTTTCTCTGATAGGTGGATGCTAATTCACAATGGGGGGTGGATTGGGAAGAATAGAGGTACTTTGGATTAGACAGAGGGGAAGGGAGGGGGTGTGGTCATAATAGTAGAATGAATTCGACATTATTATCCCATGTGCATATATGATTACATGACTAGTGTAACTCTACATCCTGTATAACGAGAAGAATGAGAAATTATACTCCATTTATGTATGATGTATCAAAATGCATTCTGCTATCATGTATAACTAATGGACTACATGCAAATAAAAAACAAATTTAAAAAAAGAAATGAAAGGATTCAAATTCAAAATAAAAAAAGTGTACTTTCACAAAGAATTTTGTCTAGATAGTTTTTCCTACAAATGATACTGAGGTATTTATTGAAAGTTTGACACATAGATTGGTTTGACAGATTTATCAGAAAAATCATTTAAGTTAAAAGCTCAGTTACGATGTTGACTGTGGAAGAGCCTTCTTGAGAACTTTTAGCTTATAAGTTGATGTGGCAGAAAGCATACATATTTACTGAAAATGGTAAATTTTATTACTAATAATCTGTCTTTTATTTTTAAAAGTCATGTGGTAGAGAACATCTGTGAATACAATGAAGAAAATCAATGTGGACAAATTTCAAATCTTATGCTCCAGAGAACTACTGAAGTCAAATCCTTTGAATGCTATGAGTGTGGAAAGTCCTTCCTGTTTCATTCATCACTTAAGAATCACACCAGATCTCATGCTGGAAACAAACCCTATCAGTGTAAGGAATGTGGGAAAGCCTTCCATTTTCTTGGTGGTTTTAAGAAGCATATGAAAACTCCTACTGAAGAAAAACCATATGAATGTAAGGAATGTATAAAGTCCTTCAGTTGTTCCTCCATGTTCAGAGCACATATGAAAATTCATAGTGAAAAGGCAAACCATGAATGTAAGGAATGTGGGAAAACCTTCAGTAGTTCTTCCCACCTCACAGAACACAAAAGAATTCACAGTGGAGATAAGCCCTATGAATGTAAGGAATGTGGGAAGGCCTTTAGTTGTTCCTCATCACTCTCCAAACACAAAAGAATTCATAGTGGAGATAAGCCATATGAATGTAAGGAATGTGGGAAGGCCTTTAGCTGTTCCTCTCATCTTATAAGACATATAAGAATTCACACAGGAGAGAAACCTTATGAATGTAAAGAGTGTGGGAAGGCCTTCAGTGAATCCTCAAAACTCACTGTACATATGAGGACACACACCGGAGAGGAACCCTATAAATGTAAGGAATGTGGGAAAGCCTACAATTGCCCCTCCTCCTTAAGTATCCACATGAGAAAACACACTGGAGAGAAACCTTATGAATGTCTGGAATGTGGAAAAGCCTTCTATCTTCCCACTTCCCTGAACACACATGTGAAAACTCAAAGTAGAGAGAAACCCTATGAATGTAAGGAATGTGGGAAGGTCTTCAGTTGTCCCTCATCCTTTAAAGCACACATGAGAGATCACAATGGTAAGGTGCATTATGAATGTAAGGAGTGTGGGAAGGCCTTTAGTCGTTCCTCATCCCTCACTGAACACCTAAGAACTCACAGTGGAGAAAAGCCTTATATGTGTGAGGAATGTGGGAAAGCCTTCATTAGTTCTTCCTATCTTACAGTACATAGAAGAACTCACACTGGAGAGAAACCTTATGAATGTAAAAAATGTGGGAAAGCCTTTATTCGTTTCTCACCTTTTAGTATCCACATGAAAACCCACACTGAGGAAAAACCATATGAATGTAAGGAATGTGGGAAGGCATTTCGACATTCTTCATACCTTACTATACATGCAAGAATGCACACAGGAGAAAAACCCTTTGAATGTCTGGAGTGTGGAAGAGCTTTCAGTTCTCCCTCATCCTTTGGGAGACATGTGAGAAGCCATACTGGAGAGAAACCATATGAATGTAAGGAATGTGGGAAAGCCTTCATTAGTTCTTCCTATCTTACAGTACATACAAGAACTCACACTGGAGAGAAACCTTATAAATGTAAAAAATGTGGGAAAGCCTTTATTTGTTTCTCAGCTCTTAGTATCCACATGAGAACCCACACTGAGGAAAAACCATATGAATGTAAGGAATGTGGGAAGGCATTTCGACATTCTTCATACCTTACTATACATGCAAGAATGCACACTGGAGAGAAACCCTTTGAATGTCTGGAGTGTGGAAGAGCTTTCAGTTCTCCCTCATCCTTTGGGAGACATGTGAGAAGCCATACTGGAGAGAAACATATGAATGTAAGGAATGTGGGAAAGCCTTTATTTGTCCAGCCTACTTTCCAAGACATGAAAATTCACACAAAGGACAACATATAAATGTAAGGAGTAAGGGAATCTCTGCAAGACTTTTTCTGAACTAATACAATTTGTGAAGTCTCATTTTTGTGAAGTCTCATACTGTAGAGACACTATACATGTGTGAAAGTGGGAGATTATCACTCATTCTTTTGAAGAGTTGAGGACAACTTAGAGAAACCCTGTGTTTGTAAGCTATATGGTAAAGCCATTTGATTTTGAACATAACTTTTGATTTTGAACATAACTTGTGCCACAGTCTGGCTGGGCTGTGCAAAGTAGCCGGGGGGGGGGGGGGCGACAATCAACTTGTGAAGTTTGAAACAGCGGGAGCCTCTTTATTCAGAACAGCACAGGTATATATACCCAACTAAATACACACAGCTTATCTCAATTAACATCATCTAATTACAGCAATCAGTCATTAAGGAATCCTCATCATCTTAATAATTAGACACAGCTTAACTCAATTAACATCATCTAGATACAGCAGTCAGTCATTAAGGAATCCTCATCATCTTAATAGCTCGCTGGTGTTACTTGTCAAACCACTCCTGCTGCCAAAGTGCCAGGCGCCTACTTGACTTGGCTGTGGCTCTCAACACTTGTAGAAGAAAATTCAAAATTTGAGCTAGAAGAGAAGATCAGTGCCTCATTAAAGTGGACTTCTAGAGGGTCATTGATTTCCAATGTTTTCTAATAGGAAGATTTAAGGTTATATGTTTCCCTTGTCAGCTTTTATGACATACTTTTGAGTATGAGGTGAGTTTCTTTAGCTGGGATGTAAATGTTATTTCCATTACAAAATCTTTTGGACTCTTGGGAGGTTGTGTGTGTACATGTGTGTATGCTTCTCCTCTGAGACAGGGTCTGGCTATGTTGTCCAGGCCTGTAACTCCTGGACTCTTATTTGGATATCCCATCCTTTTTCCTGTAACTTGCATAATAGGTCTGAAGGTATTCCCACAAGCAAGCCACAAGGTATTTTACATTTGAAATAGGCCTTAATGGTGTTCATTATGCATTAGCCTCCAGGTGTGGGAAAATCACTGTATCAGATGTAAGAATAGCCAAGCTGGAGTTCTGGATATTCGATGTTATGGATTTGAGTCAAATCATCTTCTTTTTGGTCTGTAGAAAACACTTTAGTCTCTCTGGAATCCAAATGGCTGCTGTTCTCCCTGTGGAAACACACAAACAGAACCCTGACTCCAGACAATCACTGGGTCAGGACCTTTCCATTGTCCTGTTAGAATATCCTTCCCAAGTACCTTAGGCTTATGTACATTTTTTGGATACATATGTCTTTCTGCAGCACTAAGCCCTGATGAATCCAAATTTAAAAAGTTTAGAGTAAAAAGGGTTATTTTAAGTTTATCTTTGGGGGATATATACCCCTTTCCAATTCCCTCTTTTTGCTTTAATAAGTACATTTTAATAGTTTGATGAGCTCTTTCAACTATGCCTTGTCCCTGTGGATTGTATGGAATTCCTGTTATGTGAGTAATGTCAAATTATGAGCAAAATTGTTTATTCTGTTTTTAACTGTTTTGGAACATCCACAGTGGCAAAATTTTGTAAGCAATGAGCTATAATATCTTTAGCTTTTTCTCCGGCATGAAGGGAGCCCATAAAAAATTCGGAAGAAGTATCAACAATAACATGTAAAAATTTTAATTTTCCAAATTCTGGCAAGTGTGTGATGTCCATTTGCCAAATATGGTTAGGTATCAGTCCTCTAGGATTGACTCCAAGATTAACTTGTGGTAAAAATGTCACACAATTTTGACATTGTTTTATTATATGTCTAGCTTGTTCCTTAGTTATTTTAAAATTCTTTTTTTAAAGTATTAGCATTGACATGGAACCTTGTATGAAAATTTGAAGCTTCTTCTAGTGTAGAGAAAATGTGTATGTCATGTGTAGTTTTTTCTGCTAAATCATTGCCCAAACTAAGGGCTCCAGGTAATTCTGTATGTGCCCTGATACTTCCTATAAAGAATGGATCTTTTCTGTCACAGATTAGACTTTGTATAGTGGAAAACAAAGAGAAAACAGTAGAGGAAGGAGAAATCCTACCAGCATTTTCAAGGGATATTATACCATTAACTATATACTGATTATCAGAAATTAAATTAAATACAGAATCTTTAAACATCACAAAAGCTTGGAATACTGCATTAAGCTCTACCTTTTGAACTGATTGTTTGGGTACTAAAAATGTAAAAGTTTGATCAGGGGTAACTACTGCTGCTGTACCATTATTTGACCCATCAGTGAATATATTTAGAGCATTCATGATAGGTGTTTTTCTTGTCATTTTTGGGAAAAAAACTACAGAATGCAAAGACCAAAAAGACAACAAAGGATTAGATGATAAGTGATTATCAAATGAAACATTAGATTTACACATGATTATTGTCCAAGTATTTAACTCATTAGCTAACTCATCAATTGGATCCATAGTATATGGAGTAATAATTTTCTTGGGAGAAATTCCAAACACTCCCTTTGCTGCTTTTATTCCTTTGAGTATCAATTGTCCTACAGCCTCAGGATACCTAGTAAGAATAGTGTTAGGAGAATAAGATAAATGTATCCGCAATAATGGACCTTCTTGCCAAAATACTCCTGCAGGAATGTTGTTTGTTGGTATTACGATAAATAATAAAGGGAAACATATCAATTGTATCCAAATGCATATTTTCCATATATGTTTCAATAATTTTTAATGCCTTTCTTGCTTCAGGTGTTAATATGCGGGGTGAATTTGGATCTGATGGACCTTTTACGATATCAAATAAAGGTCCCAACTCTCCTGTTGGTATGCCTAGATAAGGCCGTATCCAATTTATGTCTCCCAATAACTTTTGAAAGTCGTTCAGTGATTCGAGTTGATCTACTCATATTTGAATTTTTGGTGGACGGACCATGGTTGAGGATAATAGAACTCCTAAATAATTAATTGGAAAATTTAATTGTACTTTATCTATTGCTATCTCTAGATTATAATTTTTTAATAAATTTGTAAGTGTGGCATAACATTCTAGCAATGTGTTTTTATCTTTGTGTGCTAACAATACATCATCCATATAGTGAAATATTTGTAGTTCAGGATTTTGATTTCTAAGTGGCTGGTTTGCTTTGTTAACATAAATTTGACACATAGTTGGGCTGTTAGCCATCCCTTGAGGAAGTACTTTCCATTCATATCTCTGATCAGGACCTTCATGATTCAGTGCAGGGATAGTAAATGCAAAACGTGGACTATCCTCAGGATGAATTGGAATTGAAAAAAAAAAATCTTTAATATCTATAGCTAAAACATACCAGGTTTTTGGCAAAGCAGACAATTGGGGAATCCCTGATTGAGCAGGTCCCATAATAACCATCTCATTATTAATGGCTCTTACACCTTGCAATAATCTCCATTTTCCAGATTTCTTTTTAATGACAAAAATGGGAATATTTTGGGGAGATATGGAAGGTTGAATATGTCCCTTCGCTAATTATTGTTTGACCACGTCATGGGATGCTTGTATCTTTTCTTTAGTCAGGGGCCACTGAGGAACCGATACTGGTCTTTCTGATTTCTAAGTAATTTTTATTGTCTCAGTGACCCTTTCTGAAAACCCAATCCATGTCTATTTATTCCTTGATCTATTTGAATTGGTGGTGCTATACCTTGTTCTTTTTCTCCTAATCTTTTTTTTTCTTTCCTAAAACCTTGTCTAGCCCTAATAGTGGGTGCATTTGGATTGATGTTATTTGTTAATATCAAACCTAATTCATCTAGGACATCTCATCCCCATAAATTTATAGGAAGATGATCCAATACATATGGCTGTATAGTTCCTTCATATCCTTCAGGATCCTTCCAATCTAATACCATTGCACTTCTCTGGGGATGAGTTGCCACTCCTAGGCCTTGAAGCATTTGAGTGGCTTGTTGTAATGGCCAATGTTTCGGCCATTCTTGATGAGAGATGATGCTAAGGTCTGCATCTGTATTAAGTAGCCCATTAAATTCATGTCCTTGAATATTTAGTTTTAACATTGGGTGAGAATCTAAATTTAGACAGCATAGCCCAATCTACACCTGTGAAGCCTAATCCCTTGGAACCTCATTCTATAGTACTACTGGAAAATTTATCATGTAGGCTGGGTATTATTAATAACTGTGCTATTCTATCTCCTGGTGAAATTACTGATATACCCTTTGGAGAACTAGCTATAATTTTTATTTCACCTTCATAATCGGGATCAATTACCCCAGCACTTATCATAAGTCCTTTTAGAGTAGAAGAACTGCGTCCTAACAATAAGCCTACTGTTCCTTGGGGAAGAGGTCCTTTTCCTCCTGTTGGAATGATTTGAACTCCCATCTCTGGAGTTAGTACTGCTCTGGCGGAGGCGCAGATGTCCAACCCTGCACTCCCTCTCATTCGTCTGATGAGAGATCTGATGGATAATGTGTCCTGCGCACCACCATGATGGTGTTGCTGGGTTCCTCCATGGTGTTTCTGGATTCCTCCAGTACCCTGTATATTGTGGTCATGGGCCCCGGAGCATTGGGCCCCTCTGTCCATTTTTTGGCAATGGAGCCCGATGCCTTTCTCCATGATATTGTCGGTAAACACCTGGTCCTTGTCCATTTTTTGATAATGGAGTACCCTATATGGTGGTTTGAGAATGGCTTTCATTAGCCCAATGTCTCCCTCTATGGCATTGTGGGTAGATACCCGGTATTCTACCCCTTTGATACCTAGTTTTGTTAAACCCTCCTCCTATGATGCAATTCCTTTTGAAATGTCCTGTTTGTTCACAATTGTAGCATGTTTTTGGCCTTCCACCAAAACCTGTTTTACTGTAGCTGCCAAGACTTGCCCTTGTTCATTAATGTCTGTACATAATTTAATATATGTGTTTAAATCTCCATGTTTCCATGGTCTAGTGACCTCTCTGCACCAATGATTTGCTTGCTCATAAGCCAGGTGTTTTATTAATGGCATTGCTTTTTCTGTATCCCCCAAAACTCTGGTATCTCTTTGAATAAGCCTATCTACAAATTCAGCGTAAGGTTCATTAGCCCCCGGTATTATCTTACATAGTTGACCTTGTAAATCTCCATGTCCTTGTAAAGTTTTCCATACCCTAACTGCATATGTAGCAATTTGTGAATATATAGCGGGATCATATTCAGTTTGTTGCTGTTGACCCTCATAAGGTCCTTTTCCTAGCAACATATCTAGATTTCTTTGAGGGTAACCGGATGCTGCATTTCACCTAGCCAACTCCATGCAAAATTCCTCATTGGCAACCTTCCATAACAAATATTGTCTTCCATTTAGCACAGATTTACACATGCTATCCCAGTCTGCTGGCATCATGTCCAAGTTGGTAATGGATTCGACCATGCTTACAGTGAAGTGTGCTTGGGGACCATAGGTTGTTACAGCCTCCTTTAACTGCTTCATTGTTTTGAAGACTAAAGCAGGGTGAATTCGCTGCCCTCTTGCCTGCTCAAGTACAGGGCATGCTAATCTTTGAGGTCCTGTCTCAGGATCCCATCTATCAACTATAGGGGTTGACAGCCACTCAGCTGTCTCCATAGGTGGAGCTGTTGGTTGAATTATGCCCTCTGGTGATAGAATGGTGTTAGTAGCAGCCTCCTGTTGTAGCTTTTTCCCTAATAGCCCCTTTTCCTTTAAATTTTCTTCCTCTGTCTGACTAGCTCGAGAGACCTTCTCTTTTGCTTGATCTAAAATGTCTTTCTCCATGGTCTGAACCTCTAACAATTTACTTAATGCTCTTTCAGTTTGTTTTTTTACTAATCTACTATAAAATAATGCAACCCAACAAGATAACACAAAACAAAACTGAAACAGAATGAAACAAAAGCAGAACAAAAATCATTGTATCAATTTTCCTATTTTCTTTTTTTTTTCTTTCCATTATCATTTATTCTCTCATAGGAAGATAAAAAAACAAACTCCGAAAAGCAAAGTAACCACACATTGGTCTAGGCCACATTATAAATCCAAGCACTGGTGTGGAATTTCAGTGGAGAGAAGAAAACTTGTTAAAACCCTCCCCAAAGTCATAAGAAAGTCTTCCAATTTAACTGTCTCTGTTTACCCATCCTTATTCACCACCCAAGACCATCAATTCTAGACTAGTCTGATCTGTAAGAGGGGTCAAAGCAGCAGGAGCAGGCATGGATGGAGGGAAGGAATGAGAATCAAAAGACATCAAGGAGCTGATTTGTTTGAGAAAAGCAGTGATTCCTCAGTTCACAGCTTCCAGTGGCTGAGATGTAAAATGCCTAAGAGAGCAGATCCGAGAATTAAATGGATTGCTTTTTTGGAGGTGTAAGTAGTATGAAGAATGTGAGATGACAAGAGTCTGATTTTTTTTTTTAAAGCTTCAAGGTTTCAACAGAATGTGGATGTATTTGAGCTTTTAAAAAGGATAGCGGTTTAGAAAGGGCAAAACCAGGATGCACAAATGACTGGGAATTCCCATGACCCTAAATGCTTCCTGCTCCAGGAAATAAAGTGTTTACTGGAGGTCACACCTACTACCCAGTGCAAACTAATCCATCACCTCTCAAAAGCTTTTCAAACCATGATTTCCCCATTTATTTTGGTCCCCAAGCAGTCCTCTTCTTTAGTGGCCTGTAGACTCACTCCCAACTACCCCCCTGGGTGGTAAAAAAATAAAGGAATTCCCCATAGGCTGGCCCCAGTAACTCAGAATTAAAGTAAGAAGAAGTGCTGGCAGCCTCCTGGAGACTAAAACAATTTGAGACTAAATCTACCTTTCCAAGGATGGAAAATTTATTCAGATAATGTTTGAGAATTCATATATGCCACAATAGAATAAGAATTAAAAGGTAGAAATCTCACTCTTCCTTATACCTCTACCTCCCCTACTGCCCAACCAATCCAGACATTTTACCACTGTCATTACCATTTCTTCTAAATGGAGGCACCTAGGCACTAATCACACAGGCAACTGCATGGTATTGTAAGAACACACCACAACTTTTCCATTAAAAAGCTGTAGTCTCTGTCTCTCTGGCTACATTGGCGATTCTCCAGTAACTTCAATACTTTAAAGGCTGCAGCAGCATGCAAAAGAATTTCATTTCATTTTTTAAAAAAAAAGTTAAGAAAGGTCTCCAGGAGATGGTGAGTTTTATTTGTCTTGTCTGGATAGAGGTTTGATTTGCTCTTGAATGTTCCAGGGTGGAGAGACTAGGAGAAAGCACAGGACGCAGAGGTCTACTCAGTGTAGTCTTCTCCCTAATTTTCATCCTCACCATTCACAGAGAGAGTGGCATACTTGCTTGCAGAACTGAACTTAGAGGCTGGATTTTCCTCAGGTTTCTTTGGCTCAGGTGCAGATCTGGAGTCTTGATCCTTTTTGCCCTCTTTCCTATCTGACTCCTTCCAGTGATCTTTGTTCCCTCCATCTCCTGTACCACGGCTGGAGTTCCCAGTTTGGCCTTTTGGGACACTCATTCCATCTATTTTATTATCGTCTTTCCTTGTGGGTCCTTCCTCAGATGGCTGAGCTGGAGCTACTTTCCCCCCACCACTTGTGGGGGATTGCTGCTCTGTGTCTGAGCTCTGTGATTGAGCAGGAGGGTTAGAACTTCGCTTCACCCACACATTCTCCTTTGGTGGAGGGGCTGGCATTACCTTTAGAGGCTGATCAGGTTTGGGAGGCTTAGAAGTTGGAGAGTGACAGTCTTCCTCCTTATTGAGTGTTTCATTTTCTAGAGACTTCTCACTCTCTCTCCTTCGTGCATCAGGGTCTGACTTACTTCTGCCAGATGTGGCTGAGGTTCCAGTCTGTGATGACTCACTTCCTGTCCTTGACCGTTCCGTTCCTGAGTTTCTTCACTTCGCCAGCTTGGATGTCTCTCCCTAGGCCACCGTTCTAGTTTTGGCTCATCCAACTGGTGCTGCAATTTCTCCTGCTCCTTCTGCAGCCGTTCTTCTACTTCTCTTTCTCTAGCAGCTGTGTCAACAGGTTTTGCCC